ATAGGCGGGGGGGGGAGGGGGGTGTTGTCAACAAACCCCAACTCTCTCTCCCATTCCATCCACAAACCATCACAGACCATCCATAAAACAAAAAAAAGTAGAGGTGGCCAATACAACAGAAGATGCAAGGTTCCCCCCGTTTGTGTGGTTGAGGGGGAAGAGCCCACACACCCATCTGTCGCCAAAGCGGCACACTTGCACATATATTATATAGTTTTTTCAATTCATAAGAAAAGCGCCAAGTGCCCACTCACCTGTCTGCCTCCGAAGCGTACAACTCCAGCCTGCTCCACAGAATCACATACCAGGCACAGATCCAAACATGTGTGCATACATCCATGGAGGACAAACGGCAACATGCTTAACAGTGCACCACAACACACAAGGTTGTACCAGCGAGAAAGCACCGACCAAACCCCGATTTGTCCAAAAGGATTAGGAGAGTCCTCTGAGTCGGCCCACAAAACCACAAAATAACTCCAGAGAATTTCCATGTGACACCAGGAGCGCTACTGCTTAAAACACCATATAAGCTCCACCATCTTCCATGTGCTCCAAAAGAGCAGCCTGTGGGGGTGACACCCACAGCAAAGACTCTTTCAGCCTCCTCGCGAAGATACCATGGCCATAACTCCAACAAACATTCCCGCCCAAAAATTTCGTAGCCACCCACAGGCATGCCTTCATCAAAAGACTGCTCATGTGTCCGTGTGTCTGTGGGGGCGGGCGGGGGGGACGGAGTGGGGGGGAGTTGGGGCAGGCAGTATGGGGGTGTTGGCAGGGTAATTGGGGGTTCCGGACCCTGCAAATTTATTTATTTTTTTCTTTTTCTTTTTTGCGGGGTGCCAACTGATAGCCGACCAGTAGGTGCCAATAGGTGGAACGGTGGGCTGGTTGGTTGCCGACCAATCCAGAGGCGCGCCGCGCTGATCATCAAGATGACTAGTCTGCTTTACTTTGTAATTACTGTTCCACCTGCAGAAAACTGCACCTGGCCGGTGCTCGAATGGTATGGTATGCACTGACAACTATCACTTGACAGTTTGACAGGTCACAAGCTCAAATCCTGCAGGATGGGACAACAACAATGCTGCAAGAGTGCTGCCTCTTCTACCTAAAAGCCAGAAAATAAGCGGGCCTCAGAAACTGAAAACCCAGGAGTTTCCACAAAACTTGGAATGACGCAGAAGATTCGCATGGCCCCTGCACCGCGACAACATGCTGAGTCTGTACCTCTACAACACACTGCAACAACAGCAGCAAGGACAGACGAGCAAATGCCACAATGAAACAGAGGGGCAATATAAAATTATAGGCATCAGTGTTGCACAGCCCGACCATTGGCGACCCTTGACTGGTCGGCTGCCGACCAGTCGGCACCTACCGGT